TTTTTTTTTACAAAAATTTAAATTAATGCAGTTAATCATTCTTATTAATTTTCAATTTTAAGAAGAGGACCTAATATATCTACAAGCACCAAAGATAATCAGTATTAAAATGCTGACAAGTACATCTATTGAAGTACATTGGGACGATCCAAATGTGGATTACAGTTTCGAATTTAATGCTGAAACAGTTCAACGGAAAAAACTCTATCTTATCAAGTTTGTTTTTTCATATTTTATTTCAAAATATTTTTTAGGTCGATTCAAATTGAAAAAAAGTTATTTGCTTTTCTTTTTAAATTGTCGTTTTTACTGTTTTCAGCAGTACTGTTTATGTTCAGAAAATAAAAAACGTGAAAAAAATCACATGTTGACTTATAGAGTAATATCTTGAAATTGATAGATTTATTTAGTGTTCGATATTGGAAAAAAAAAATTTAAGAATTAAAATTTTAAAGAAGAAAAAAGAACAGTAAAGGCAATTTTGCAGGTTTATGCACAAACTGTTTAGCATTTTGAAAATTTTTTACTGGTAATATAAATAGGGAATTTTTCAGATATGGAATCGACAAGACTAGGATATACAATGAAATTTCTTCAATTACTCCGGCTGCTACAATAACCAATTTGAAACCGGGGAATGTTTATGGCATTTCGGTCAAAGTTGTTGTTGATAAAGTCAGCTCACTGTGGTCTCCAATTGAAACTATTGAAATTCCCAGCAGAGGTAACGCCGCTTGTCATCAAAAATTTTTGTCTTAGTTGGAATTCAATTTTTTACTTTTTGCGATTGAATACTTTCTCCTCTGAAGAGAACGTTGTTACTCATAATTATATAGAATCAGTAATTTGTTCGATAATCAATAAAAAAATACTCATTATAATAGAATACCTTTTGGTTCAAAATTATTTAACAATTGTTTTAAGACAGTATTTTTGATGCATTTTTTTGCTTCTCTGTTCATTTCTTTTTTTTTTTGTTATGCAAATTAGACATTTATGATATCAGATGAAAAAAAAAGTACAATAATGTAATGAAGTTTGAGTGGGAGAAGAAACGAGGTATTTTATAAGCCAATTTTTATTAAGCTATTTATCTATAGCTGTAAAAAAAAATTTATTTGAAAAAAAATATAATCTTATAAAGTTTTCTTTTTTTTTTTTTCTGTTTATCATGTGCTTAGTGGAAACCAATAATCGCTTATTACAGGTAACATCTATCATTAAAACTGTAAAGAATTAAGAATTATAAACCCAGTTTTTTTCGCTTTTTTTTTAAAAGTATTAACTTAATAAGATTATGGTGCTTTAGTCTACAGAAATGACTGATACTGAAAAACTGTTAAAATTTACAAATTTTAGCTTGAATTAAAACAACAAACTTTGTAGCCTTTTTTTCCGAGAAATAAGTTTTTTTTTATTTTGAACTTTTTGAACAAACATTCATTTGAAGAAGCTTTCTTTCACAATGCTGAAACATTCTATATTTAAGGTTAAAAAGTAATTATCCTTATTAAATATGTGCTAATGTAGAAGAAAGTTACCAATAACAAAAAGCTGAAGATTATTCCGATTTTTTATGGTCATCTGTAGTTCTGCCTTTTGTCATAATTATTTCAGAAACAATCGACTTTTTTGATAAAGATGAGCTAATGATCGGTTTGCTCGTTTTATTCCATCTTTAGTGTTCAGAACTGAAAAAGTTTAATGGTAAAATTGTTATAGGAGAATTCATAAAAGATTTTTAAGAAATTTCATTTTTATTCTTTGATTCAGTGAAGGAATAAGGAAACTGTAAGCAGCTGCACTAATAAAACTTTTCTTTCTGTATAAAAAAAAGTATAGTTATAATTCTGTTAAAAGAAATAGACTTAAGACTTTTTGTAAGTACTGTAAGCATTTATTGGCTTCAGTTGATCTGTGTAAAACATCAGCATTTGTCTGATTTTTAAAGTAACCGTTTAAGACCTATCATTTCTTTAGATTTTGAAACCAAATTTTTGTCTACTTCTAGTGTGTATCTGAAACGAAAACGTTTTTTTTCAAATAGAAATTTTTCCTCATTATTTACTATTAACTTATGCTACTTAATTGAAAATTTTCTTAATAAAAGTGCATCTGAAGTTGACGAATCTTAGTTGTTCATTATAGAATCAGCTTTTTTTGGTTTTCTGTTTAACAGAATTTTACACCTTTTTTCAACTTTAAAGAAGCCATTTTAGTTAAGCCATGTTCAACTTTTTGCGCTACTAAGCGTTTCACAGAACATTTTGCCTATAATGTAGTTAATAGAAAAATTTTTTGAAATTATTTGAAAAACTTCCAATTTGCATTTAGTGTCTTCAGAGTTTTCCTGTCATAGTTATGCTTTATTATATAATATTTTTAAAATTTCAAAAAAATACTGTGTATCAAAAAAAGAAACTAAAATTTTAAATAAAATTTTATTCACGCTTCACGAGTTCAATTTCAGTGAACCTAAGCAATTTGATTCTATTCTTATTGCTTCTATTCTTCAACCAGAATAGACACTCACATCTAACAGTAGTTAAACAAAGAAAGTTTTGTCAAACACAAAAGTGTTTAAATATTTTACAGTTGTAGAAATTAAAAAATAGTTTTAAACCTCTATAATTTTAAGAATTAATCACATTTTTTTTGTGCAACAGATGCAGCATACTGCTGATACAGCTATCTTTCTAAGTTTTGTTTTTTTTGTTTTTTTTTCA